CACTGGGGACGGAGGCTGCAACCCGGGCATGCACAGAATCGAGCCTTCCTGACCAGGAATTGAACCTCGACCTCCTGATTTATAGATCGGCACTCCACCACCGAGCCACACCGGCTGCGCCCCTCTCTGCATTGTGTTAACACCTGTTCCCGTCGGCATCCTCCATCGCCGTGTTTCTCTCTCTCCCTGTGGCTTCAGCACTGCTGTTCTTCGGGGTTCGGCCTGCGCCCTCATGTCGACATCACCTCGGTCCCACCGGGAGGAGGTCTTCTGTTCCCCCAGCCTCACCCCTCGCACCGGGGACCACCCTCAGCCTGCTCCACACCGGCACCTCCCGGGCCGTTCAGCAGCCGGTCCCACTAACACCAAGACCCTGGCCAAAGAACCTACACCGGCGGTCGGCAAACTCATTTGCAACAGAGCCAAATAGCAACAGGACAACGATGGACATTTCTCTGGAGAGCCACATTTTTTAAACTTAAACTTCTTCTAACGCCACTTCTTCAACATAGACTCGCCCAGGCCGTGGTATTTTGTGGAAGAGCCACACTCCAGGGGCCAAAGAGCTGCGTGTGGCTCACGAGCCGCAGTTTGCCGACCACTGGCCTATACCCTCAAGGTCCATAGGTCTCCCCCCCAAAAAAAGGTTCACTTTCTTCCCTCACCGACTCTGCCTCCTCCTCAGTTAAGTGGTAAACGGTGACGCACCCAGAGACCAAGGCAGGAGCCTCAAACCTCTCTCGGCGTTTCAGGGACCTGCCTCTGGACCGGTCCCTCCTCTGCGCCGGCTGCTCTCACTCAGGCTACGGCGGCCTCTGGGCTCCTGGCCTCCAGCCTGCCCTTGCCCTGGTCCAGCCTCACCTCCTCCCCCTTTTCAAACACAGGTCCCCGCCCGCACTGCCCGTCACCTGACCTCTGTGGGCTCCACGCACAACCTGCCCCTGGGCCACGGCTTACCTTCTCCTCGTCTCCATCGTCTCTGCAGCCACACCTGCCCACCATCACTCTCTCACTCCTCGCATGTGGCTCCCCAGGCCCCCTGGGGCCGCAGCAGGTGTTTAGCAGGGAGAAGGCCGTGGAGGTCACACAGGTGTTTTAGGATTTAAACATGAAGAGGAGACAGTGACGTCCCTCCAAGAGGGTGACTTGTGCGCAGGAGGCAGCGCCCACGCCTGGGTGAGGTCACAGGAGACAGGACAGCTCTGAGCGGCTGGGAGTCTGGAGGAGGCCCCAGAGCCGGACCTGCAGGCTGAGGACAGGCGGCAGTCCCCCCACACCCCCCCACCCCCACCCCCACCCCTACCCCTTCACCTCCCCACCTCCACTGCTGCAGGGGCCTCCCACAGGCTGGGTGGGGGCCCTGGGAGCTCAACCTCCAGGGCAGGGAGGCTGCGGGTCGGGCAGGAACCTCTCAGGGACATGAAAATGCTGAGCCCGGAAATCCAATGTTGGTCGGGGGGGGGGGGGGGGGGGGAGTGTTGCTGGGGTGATCCTGTTGGGAAGAGCTATGGCCCAGGAAAAGAAAATCTCCCTCCCTTCTTGCCTCCTCCAGCGCCCCCACGTGGTGGGAGCCAGGAGACAGCCCGCAGGGTTCCAGCCTCAACTTCGCAGGGGCGGTGGGCTTAGAATCCAGACAGTGGCTCAGTCCGGCCCTCACTTCTCATTTCCCGTCCATTACGCTCTTCCCACCCACAGCTGCCTGGTTCGCACCTTGATCCAACACAATCTCCTTCCTTCCCTTTTCTCTGTCTCCCACATCACCCTTCACCCCAGCGGCTGAAGGCCCCTGCCATATGCAAATACCTCCTTTAGAATCTGTTATTTGTATAGATATATTTTTTGTATCATAATTATTTCCGTGTATGCTCATGCGTTTGATTTCTGCCAAAAGGCAAGCTCCTTTAGGGCAGGTAGAGCAACAGGTTTTTATTTTTTATTTTTTTTAATATACTTCATTGGTTTCTTTTCAGAGAGGAAGGGAGAGGGATAGAGAGCTAGAAACATCGATGAGAGAGAAATATCAACCAGCTGCCTCCTATACACTCCCCACTAGAGATGTGCCCACAACCAAGATACATTCCCTTGCCCGGAATCGAACCTGGGACCTTTCAGTCCACAGGCCAATGCTCTATCCACTGAGCCAAACCGGTTAGGGCTGGCAACAACTTTTAAACCTAGCCGGATGCCAGGCACACCACACAGCAGACACGCTGGCTGGAATGGAGAAGGGTCGTTTCACAAATTTAATAGGAGATCCCTCCGCGTATAAATTGTATCTTCCCAAACGGACACACGCGCCTCAAGAGCAGAGCTTTAGATTTCCTGGCTTTCCTGGTGGCGTTTAGTGTGAGTTTATTCATTAAGCGCCTTGATTTCCATTCAGTGTGGCACAGAGACGGGGCATTAGCGTGTGATGAGCAGGCGAGATGTGCAGGGAGGTGTGGATGAGCTTCCAGCACACGGTCCCCACAGAGTGTGCTGTGCGGATCATCAGGTTGTGTCTGTGCTGAAATAGCCCAATCAAGAGGCCCAATGCCGTACGTCTTGCAGTGAATTCTAAAGCAATGGAACATATCGTAGGTCTCTTTTTTTCCCCCTGTGTCTCTCCTACAGAAAACATACCCCCCCCCCATGAGGTTACATTGTTCCTCTTATTTATTAAATTCCTCCCAATGATCACCATCCATCCGTAGATTGGGTAAACATAGGGAAGGCACTGAATTTTAACGTAACCACCAACTTCCCAAAAAAAAGATACCTCTCTCCAACAGCTGACCTACATTAGGGCCCAAGAAGCAGCAAAACTGCGTTTCCTTTTTTTTTTTTTTTTTAAAGGGGGCGTGACATTTAATGAACTATTGATCTCTCCTCCATTACTCAAGGCAAGCAATTATCGACAATGAGGGGACAGATGATTCCCCTCGCTCCGGAGCCCCCGGGAGAGGAAGTGTCCCATTGAGCCACCTGCTCCCGGGCAAAGCTGCTAAGCATCTTTACCTGGAGGTGGAAACAGCCACGTGGGTCTGTTTATTTCACGTTTCCCCAAACGAAACAGTATTTCCTGAAGCGGAAGCAAAACGAAATCCCAAAACCCATGCATGCTCTCCAAACTCAGCACCACCACCAAAAAAAAAAAAAGCGAAGGCGTTGGCCCTGACCTCATCTCTCACCACTGGTAGGCTGGGCCTCGTGACCCCTAAAACGCTATGATTTGGGGGTGACCCTCAGGAGTCCACGCCACCCAACGAGAGGTTGCCCGGACACTCCTTGGCCGTGTGGTGTAGATAGAGCGGGAACACCCCCGTGTCTACCAAGACTTGGAGCTGAAGGGTCAGAGGGCAGGAGGCATCGCCTGTATGGCTGACAGACAGCAGGCCCAGCACCCTGTATGGCTGACAGACAGCAGGCCCAGCACCCTGTATGGCTGACAGACAGCAGGCCCAGCACCCTGTATGGCTTACAGACAGCAGGCCCAGCACCCTGTATGGCTTACAGACACCCAAACCTCATGCCAGCGTCACAGGGTGGTGGCCTGGGAGCTGCGGGCGGCGGTAACCGGGGCCCCGTGACGGCCGCCCCGTGATCACCCCTGAGGGCACCCAGCAGCCCTGCTCTCGGCTCCCCTGCACACGAGCGTTCCCGTGTCCCTAATAAGCTTCTCTGCAAAGGGACGTGACCGGCCATTGCCAGGAGTGAGGACAAGGCAGCCTTCTCTGTGACTAGTACTGGGAGGAGAGGGCGTATGTTTTACATACTTTTCAGTTGATACTGAGTGTGTGTGTGTGTGTGTGTGTGTGAGAGAGAGAGAGAGAGAAAGAGATTCACGTGGTACCCCTGGTGAAATTTAACCATGCCATTTTTTTAAAAAAAAAAAAAAGGAAAATGCTACAATTTATTTTCAAAACCTCCTTTTTCTGCTCTGCCCCCACGCCCATCCCAGAGTTCCCACACAGGAAGCGCTCCGGCAGCATGTGCTGCTGGGAAGCGCTCCTGGCGCCTGTTGCTGTCTCCATTTCCCCGGGTTCTGGTTAACATCCTGCTGAACCGGTGAAACCCTGATTACCTAAAAGAATAAGCAGGACGTGGCCTTAACGAGAACACCCAGCATGCCGAGGAAAATAAACCACTGGAGACTGCAAGTGGCCTGGCAGGGACCGCCCATGCGTTTCCGTCTCCGGCTTTGGCTGGTCTGGACTGGCTCACACAGATGTGACCCAGCCATGAACATGGTGAATCTTTGCCAATCAGGGTTTCACCGCTGCATTCCTTATGATCCCGGGAAACCAAAGCGACCTTGGCCTCTCCTTCCTCCGATCACAGGAGGGTCAATGCCGCCATCGGCTGCTCTTCCTCACACTCCTCCATGGAACAGCTTCCTCTCCCCCCACGGGGCTGCCCTGCCTGCATGCCGCCTGCCCCTGCTCTCCCTCCTCCCCCAGCCCCAGGGCCCCTTCCCTTGGCTTCTGTCCTCATGCATGTGGCACCGGCATCACCTGCAGGGAGAAGGCCACCCCCTTGGAGGTTCCTGGTCACTTAGCAGCCCTGCTTTGCATTCCAATGGGCATCTCCTGCCTTCCAAGCTCCGCGTTCTTGCATGCGATACTGGTCCTTTAAAAGCCTGGGGGACCACAGGTCCCCTGGAGAGACCAAGGGGATGATGCTCCCTAGCTCTGGACAGCCTCACATGCCAGGGAGACTGTCCCAGGTTGCAGCAGATATGGATAGGAAGAGAACCCATGGGATTGGGGAAGGGGGAGGGGAGGGGAGGCAGCAAACTACCTGTGTGTGGAAATTGGAGTCACGTGCTCCATTTGCGGGGGAGGGGAGGAATGGGAATGGGGATGCAGATGAGGGTGGGGGTGGGAATGGGGGCGGGAGGGGGCGGGGGAGCGCGGGATCCGCCTGTCCATTGCCATGTTTGAAGCTGCGAACATGCTGTACCCGATGCACTGACACTGATTCTGCTTCTCCCCCTCCTCCCCCTCCCCCTCGCCCTGCAGCCAACGTGTGCGACAACGAGCTGCTGCACTGCCAGAACGGGGGCACCTGCCACAACCACGCGCGCTGCCAGTGCCCCGCCGCCTACACCGGCGTCCTGTGCGAGAAGCGGCGCTGCGAGGAGGCGGGCGGCTGCGGGGCGCGCTCGGGCCAGGGGGCGCCCCCGCGCGGCCGCGCGGCGCTACTGCTGCTGATGCTGCTGGCGCTGCTGCCGCTGCTGCCGCCCCCCGCGACCCCGATCCCGACCCCGACCCAGGCGCTGCTCGCCATCTAGGCGGCCCCGCAGCACCACCGGCCGCGCCGAGGCCCGGGGAGCCCACGCCGCCGCCCACGCCCCCGCTCCGGACCCAGAAACACTCCGACCCCCGCGCCCCGCAGCGCCCGCCCCGGGAGGCCCGACTGAACGAAGCCATAGTCCTCAGCCGTGGACAGCGCACCCACCCATCCGAGGCGGCTCTGCTCTGCTCCTCCTGGCTCGGGAGCCGGTGCCAGCTGCAGGGCCCAGGGCCCGTGGGGAAGGCTGGGGCGGCCCCTCCGCACAGGACAGACAGAAGGAACAAACTAACGGACCTGGGAAGGTGGGTGCGCTCCCGTCTGCGCGCCGACATCGCTGCACCTAGGGCGCAGGGCCCCAACACGCAGGAGCGACCTTGGCGGGCGGGGCGCCGTGACCATGACCATGACCATGACCGCGGGTGTCAGGGCATCCGCCTCGGCCCCCGAGCCCCCTCCCACCCGCCCGAGCTTCAGTGGACGTTGCTCTGTCGCCCTCGTTGGTCGGAAGGTTCCTGTCTGATGTCAGTCTGTGCGCACCTGTCACCACCCCTCCGGGGGAAGGAGAAAGTGTATCTATCCTTTTGTATTCAAATGAAGTTATTTTTCTTGAGATACTGTACTATGTAGATTTTTTGTATTCTTGCCGATGATTTGTGTTACCAGACAATCTGTTCGCGTTTCCCCCTCGTTCCACGCGCGGCCCAGACTGACACGCTTTGCTTTGTCCTCTCCCGTTCGTTCTGTTGTGAGATTTCTCTGTGAGGGCGGACGGACGCGCCGCCGGCATCAAAGAATATCCGTTTACATATACATAGCGAGTGTCATAAGACTCCACCAAAGGACATTCTGTTTTCCTGTTTGCTTTAATCCGGGGAGAGGCGAGGAGTCAAACCGTTCCTGCCTACGAGAGCCCAGGACTCCGTGGGGCGCTTTCCGGAGAGGCCGGAGCAGCTGCCGAGCAGCGTCCACGCGGGCTTTGCCGGCCTCGGCGTGGCCTGGCCACGGGCAGCCGGCGGATCCGCGCTAGCTTGGACACCTTCTGCGAAACCCGAGACTGTTTCCGCTCGGGGGGAAAAAAAACGACCACAGGAAAAATTAAATAAATAACTCTAAGCGATTGCCAAGCTTATGCCAAAGCCTGCTGGCAGAGTACGAAGGAGAGGCTTTTATTTTTCAGCCATGCTATCGTCACAGACGGATGTGACCGTGCGACCCCAGGGAAGCGATGCGGATGGATGTGTCTTTCCAAACACAGTGTTTACAGGGAGTGCCGTGGGGAGAACAGCCTGGGGACTCTGGGCAGTGGCAGGGAATGGAGTGTTCGCAATGGGACTCTGACTATATTCAAACTCTCTAGAAGAACTATCCACTGCCCAGCAGCGAGTAGACGTGACTGCTGGGCCTGAGAATAAAGTTCGTTTTAAGTACCGCCCCAGGTGTGATTGATTCTTGTTTCTGCCTCTGATTAGGCCGATTGCCGGGCAAGGTGGCGGAGGGGGGGGGGTCCCCCAACGGCTGGACCAGTGCATGCCACTCCCAGCACAGGTAGCAGATGTGGCGGCAGCCGCCTCCACTGCCCTCAGAAACCACATCAGCCCCAGCCCGAGACTTCACGACAGCGAAGTCCTCCGTGACTTGGTGGCCCAATGAGCTAAGACAGTGCTGGGTTGGAAGCCTGGCCTCTGTTCGAATCCCTGACCCCGAATCCCCCACTCCCTGCGACATTGGGGGGGAGGGGGGGTAATGGAGAGGGAGGACGTCTGCTGATGAATAACACCAGGTGAGGCAGTGCCCGGCAAACCCATTAGCCAACAGAGCCAAATACCAACAACACAACAGTTGACATTTCTTCGGAGAGCCACATTTTTTTTTTTAACTTAAACTTCTTCTAACGCCACTTCTTCAACATAGACTCACCCAGGCCGTGGTGTTTTGTGGAAGAGTCACACTCGAGGGGCCAAAGAGCCACATGTGGCTCGCGAGCAGCGGTTTGCCAACCCCCGAGATGAGGGAACGGTGTGTCTTATTGGTTTTGTTCCCAGAAAAAGCCAATTCCAAGAAGGCAATCAAAGGTAAACAGGGCCGAAGCCGGTTTGGCTCAGTGGTAGAGCGTCGGTCTGCGGACTGAAAGGTCCCAGTTTCGATGCCGGTCAAGGGCATGTACATTGGTTGCGGGCACGTCCCTGGTAGGGGGTGTGCAGGAGGCAGCTGGCCGATGTTTCTCTCTCATCGACATTTCTAACTATCTCTCTCCCTTGCTCTCTGTAAAAAAAAAATAAAAAAAAAATCAAAATATATTTTAAAAAATAAAGTACATAACCTTTCTCTATTCATAGACAATGAAAAAAAATCATTATTAAACACACACACACACACACACACAAAGGTAAACAGGGTACGGAGGCCCTGCCTGCCGCCCGGCGTCTAAGCCGACTGAATGTTTGTTATTGGAACCCACAGCCTCTCCGGATGCACGAACCAGGGGAGACGGACATGAGTCAGAGCCAGCGTGGCCAGTCAGAACCTGGCCGTTTACCTGAGAAGCATCAGCAGCAAATTCTCGATCGGGAACCCTCCTGACCTGCCCAGACTCGGAGATCCCTCCTGAGACGGCGGGTTTCCCGGTTAAAATCGGGGTGTGCGGTGCCTTCGAGGTGATTAGCACGAACCGTAGGCAGACCTGTTTCCGGACACGGCGCACTTTGTCATCACTGGCTCCTGGCTTTGTCACAGGCCCAGGGGCCAGGCTGCACCTTTCGGTACCCAGGAGGCCGACAGCTAATTCGAATGCCGAAACCGGTTTGGCTCAGTGGATAGAGCATCAGCCTGCGGACTGAAGGGTCCTGGGTTCCATTCCCAGTCAAGGGCATGTACCTTGGTTGCGGGCACATTCCCAGTAGGGGGCGTGCAAGAGGCAGCTGATAGATGACTCTCCTAGATGTTTCCAACTATCACTCTCGCTTCCTCTCTGTAAAAAATCAATAAAATATATTTTAAAAATAAAAATAAAATTTAATGAAGGCCCAATGGGCATCACTCCATCTGCATGTTACCTCCAGGAGTCTCTACGGATCTCACTGGGGGAGGCATAGCTGGCGTCCCTGTACTGAGGGGCAGCTTTCTGCATTTCCTGCAGCGATGTGATCTGCTTTTAACGAAAATTCCCTTTGGGCTATAGAGCCCTTGTGACTTGAAACTCTCTTTGTCATCTGGATCCTCAGGTTCCTCTAAACGTGAGAGTCTAAAGGGGGTGCTCCCTTGAAGCAATCCCATCTCGACGGGTTTCATTTGTTTGCTGCTTTCTGGCATTCCTGGGCTGTAGGCTCAATTCCCCAGTAGGGGGCGTGCGGGAGGCAGCAGGTCAATGATTCTCTCTCATCATTGATGTTTCTCCCTCCCTCCCTCCCTCCCTCCCTCTCTGAAATCAATAAAAACATATAAAAATAAACTTCAACAAAGTTACGGGCTGGGGGAAGGCAGGCGGGCCTCACTGGGTGGAATGTGGGGACTGCTGAGTGGCCTGGGGCAGTGGGAGGAAACCCTGAAATCAGATCTTTCGTCTCATCACTTTCGCTCCCCACCATCAAGTCAATAACCCAGTGTGACTAGGGTGTCAGCCCCCACATCCTGAAGGGGGAAGCTTTGTGTTAGATGGGAGAGGGCAGGTGTGTTCGCCCGCTGTCGGCTGCTAAATAAAATCCCCGTTTGGCAGTTTCTCTGCTCCCAGAATGGCACACACTGTGTGGAGCTTCGAGCGCTGAGTCCCTTGTACTTACAGACGGGACTGTGTGTGTGACCTTAAAGCTGCAGTTCCTGAAACCGAACTCGAGTTCTTTCCCCTCCGTTTCTATCCCCCGGCTTTATCGACAAGGACGGCGAGAGTGGCAGCGATGAAGCTGGTAACGAGCGCAATCTGAATCACCAGGGAAAACCCGAGGGTGTTTTGTTTTGTTTTGTTTTCAACAAATCCAATGGGACCACCTTCGTCACACCTGGGGATGAAAAATACAGAGAAGGAACACTCCCAGAGTTCTGACCCAAATATCTGGTTGTGAGCAATTCTTTGTCTCCGGAAATCAGGACTCAATTTTCTTCCTGAGAAGTACCCGGGGTTCATCGGCACCAATACTGCGATAGTTCTGACCATTTCCAAATAAGAGAGCGTTTCACTTGTAACTGTATTTTAACACACACACACACACACACACATATATATATATATATATATATATATATATATATATATATATATTACAAGTTCCATATATACTCAATGTTCCATACCTACAACGCTAGTCCACGTTTAAATCCGAGAATCACTGCTCGTAAACAATGCTTGGGGAATGATTAGCACGTGACCTCGCCGAGTCACCAACAATCATTGGTTGATTGGTCCTGCCGTCACGTGGCGGGGTTCTGCAGCAGGTGGAACAGGTGCGGCCCGAGTTCCCACCTACGCTAAGCCCCGCACCCTCACCCTTCTACGTTCCAGGTGAGGGTGAATGCCTGCCTGCATTGACTAGACCTGCTCAGTAGCCATTTAAAATGCAGTACTTCTAGACAGCTGTTGGTGAAATCAAACTTCTGAGACATCCCTACTTTCACGTCTATAACCCTGTCTACACACGTCAACACAGGTGCACGCATTTGTCCATTCCTGAACGCACACCTTCAGGAAGCCCGCTAATGAGCCTGCTAGTTCGGGTTTTCCTGGGCCACCCTGCAGCTCCGAGCACGAGCTTGGCTGCTTCCGATACCTCACGTGTGTCTACAATGAGCGGAAGGTGGCCAAGGTGGCTGCCAGCAGCAATTCGGCGGAGAGCCAGAGGTGGGGCGCCGAGTCTGGGGCCGCCGTGTGACCCCCGCATGGTGATGCAGTGGGGAAGGGGTTCGGGCGTCTGCCGTTCGGTCATAGCTGCTGAAGGGCAACTTCCACCAGCCAGCAGTCCCGTTTTCCCTCTGCCAAGGCGAACCGCTCACCCCGCAGCCCTGGACGCAAGACCCACTGTCAAGCTGGCCCCGAACGGCTCTCCCCCCCAAGGAGCCCGAAAATGCCCTGCGGGGGTCCATCGCCTTGGCTTTAGTTCGGTCTTCCTAAAATCTGGAGTGCCTCTTAATATTCTTCACAAAAAATCCTTACCCGGATGCAGCGCCTCTCCAAGAATCCTGGTCAGCAGCCTCACCCCTGGGTGTGATTGATTTTGATTTACCTGTTATCTCTCCTATCGGTTATTGTTAATGCTAACATCACACACACACACACACACACACACACACACACACACAGGACCCTGCATAGAACAGGGCCCTATACATTCGTGCTCCGATATTTACTGAACACACATTAAGTTCGGGCTCTAAATAATCAGAGCAACAGAGTATAATGCAAGTTCAGGTGTGTGTGCCTCTTATTCTACCTAAAGAATGCAATATTAATAAAGAAGAACTACCACAACCTGGATCCCGGGAGGGAACACGTTTGTGCATGAGAGGTTTACAGGCGAAATCGCATGTTCCATGCTGCAGGGGGCGCTTCGGAGGAAAGCGGGAGCGTGTGCTCCCTGCAGAGCGAACAGACCTCCATAAGGTCAGCGACGCCGCGGCTTACCTGTGCCCGCGGCAGGTCCCGCCTGTCCGGTTCCTCTGTCTCCGTCCTGCTGGGCCGAGAGCGAGCTTTTGGGGCTCCAGCGGGCCCCAAAGGCACCCAGGGGCACCCCAGCCCGAGGCCCGCCCTGGGCTCCTGGCTCCGTGGGTCTGGGTGGAGCCTGAGGGTTGGGTTTGCAACTAGCTCCCAGGTGAGGCCGATGCTGCCTTCGGCTCAGGCGCATTCAAACCCTCCCTGCGTCCGCGGAGACCCTCCGGGCTTCCCCAAACCCCTGCCTGAGGCACCCCCACACGAGGTGGGGGCCCGGGCTGCCCCTGCGGGGCTGGAGGAGAACAGAACGGGACCATGCATGGCCGTCCGCTCCGGGCCCCGACCCAGAGATGGCGGAGAGCCCAGGTCCATGAGGCCGGAGGCCAAGGCGCAGGCGCGTGCTCATCAGATCCCCACCCACCGGGCATC